CCTAGTCGTTGATTGCTCAGTACATTAACGCCGCAGTATTTCAGATGTTAATCGTCACCTCTAGAGGTATTTTGTGTCAAAATTATCTGCCGCTCTATCTACATTGCCAGCTTTAAAACAAGAAGAAAGTCGCGGTAAAAGAATGATTGCAGAGCAGGGGTTGAAAAATTGTCTCTAATTTTCTAACGCGTTATAAAAATAACATTTTCCGAGACTTTTTCTTTAATCATGTTTTTATTTAGGTTAGTTGCTACTTTTTTTGCATTTTATTTTAACACGCGTTTGATGCATGGGTGGATATACGCTCATAGAACATTTTTTCTCTGCTTTTTAGCAGATAGAAATGTCTTACATATTTCACAGGGAAATTTGTTTAAAAAAATCCCTGAATGTTTCTACCGAAAGAAGCGCACGAAGCGTGTAAAATACTTTTATTTATTTATTTGTTATTTTTCCAGCGTTTTAATGACGAAATTATTATTTCTCGGTAATAACATTAGTAAACTTTCTCTTCTTGGAAAATTAAACATAATTATTTGCATTTTCGTGCACGTTAAAAAGAGTGGATTTCATAAATCTTCTTATGATTTAACATGCGACAGGCGTGGGAGACCCTGTTATTTACGCTAAGAAAGTATTACCAGTGGCAGCTGTATGCAGTGCTAAAAAATCAAATTCATCGCTGAAATAAATTTTTATAAAAATGGCAGTTTTTTCTTGGCAGTACTCAAAGCAAAGATGATAGGTTTAGTTTCTTTACTCACATTTACTCTGAAGGAAAATATTTGCCGCATTGTAATTAATTAGAACTGATTTTTTTTTATGTTTGTGACGCAATCAAATATCCTAATCCACTGCTTCTAAAAAAAATTTTTTTTTTCTTTTGCTCCTTGACCAGGATTAAACGCTTGATGTACTCTTCAATAAAATATTCTGACATGACAATTTCTGAAACAATTTCATGATTAACTGGCAAATAGTTGCTGAAGATTATACTGCACTAAAAAAACATATTTACTTACTCTATGCGAAGTACTTTACTTAAAATTATCAGTTTAGTTTTCCCATCCCGGAACAAAGAAGAAAATGGAACAGTAGCCCGAAAATCGACGAATCATTGCCAGCTGCACAGCATTTTCAATATGTTTATCTAGCTGTATTATATTAATTAAACAGTGCAACTAGGTGAGCATGTTAACTTTTTAATAAAATTTTGAAAATTTCCTAATGACAAGAAAACAATTCATAAAATATTCTGCTATTCTAAATAAGAATTTCCAACAGGTTATTTTATTACTATTTTATAGGCAACAGTTTTGCAGATATTTATGTTCCTCAAATGCTTTTTCAATGAACTAAAGGAATGAATGATACTGTAGTTCGAATGATAAGAAGGTCTCCGAAAGCACCAGGTAGATGTAGTCTGCTTTAGTTTTACATGAAGCAAACAGAGTATTAAAAAAAGGTTCATGCCTCTTGCCAGTGCTGTTTTTAATGATATTTATTACCTGTTTTTATGATCAGTTAAAAATACTGCGAAAATATGGCTGCCTTATAAAAGCTCTATATTAAAGTTTTACACTTATTTTTTTTTCCAGTCTGAAATTATATTTCTTTTTAGTCTGAAATTATATTTCTATTATTCTTTGAAATTATATTTATTTTATAAAGTATTTGGTTTAGAAAATAAGAAATAAAAAGTAAATATGTAGACAGATTCTTCTAATCGAAATTTTCAATCCTGTTTCTGAATTTGAGAAACTATGAAGCCTCAAAGTTTTTTAATATGAAGGATAGTTTCTAAGCTTGGAGTAGCTTTCTGATCAGAATCGTAGCTAGGGTTTTCAGCGCCCAGGGACAACTGAAGATTTCGTGCCTCCTACTGCTTGCCAAGGGTGGAAAACATTTAATTCCAAAATGTCGTACCATCAGTTTGACGTCCCTTGGGTTCTGCGCCCGGGGACAGATGCCCCCCTTGCCCCCCTCTAGCTACGCCCCTGTTTCTGATCTTTTGGTTTAGTCGCAGACATAGAGTCCCGCCATATTTAAGTTTTAAGCAGACTAAACATGAAAACCACTCTTAGATAATTCTGTCATTATCACAAAAATAATAAATTTAATATTTTGATCGGCGATATAAGAAAACCAGCTCTGCATCCGTTACAAAAGAATTGTTAAAGATATTATTTTATAAATTAGATTTTAAAGTTTCATTATCGATTCAGATAATGTTTTTTTTCCTTTCGTGTCGTTTTCTTTTCTTTTATATCTTTGAAAAAGTTCTACCAATTTGGAATTTTATATTGCAGCATATGGTCTCTCATCCACCGCAGGTATTCTAAATTCATGCGAAAATATATTTTTTCAAACTAAAATTTAGTTTCTTTTGCTAAATTTCGTAAGAATGGACAGAATGGTATAAATTCATTTTCAATGTTTTAATTACAAATTGTTGTTTGTTTTTAAACATTTTTTTTTGTCATTCACTATAAAGCGCATTGCTTCGAAAATTTTTTACCAGGTTTGATTAGCTTGTTTTTTTTTTTTTTTTTCAATGTGATAGCTGCTCGGGCGCCATTTGAATAATGTTTCGCGCGTAATTTTGGAAGTTGCGTCTTACAATTTCAGAAATGCTGTTTTAATTTATGATATGTGATTCATAACTAAACCATTTAGTTAAAGGCCATAAATCCCAACAGAAAAATGAAATGTTCCGTATTAAATGATGCTAATGAATCAGATTCAAACTTTAAAACTTCACAGGTTAAAAACAGATAAAAACAAAAATTTGAAATTTGACATTTTACTTTCTTCTAAAGTGTTTCTTTTTTCCCCCTCTTGAGTGTTTTCTAAAGGCTTACTTCGACAATGAATACAAACTAGAAAATATCACCAAGCAATCGATTTTTTTACCACATTTATACATCAGCTTCATGGCCAGATTACAACTTCACATCTTTTTAACTTGGGAACGGCGCACTGAAGCATAGTAAAGAAGATTTACTTTAGTTAAAACTCCACTACAAAAATTCCGTTTGGACAAAAGTTTCAATATATCTCTGGTGACAAATTTTATAATTCCTTATGTATTAAATCGCTATCTATTTCGTCTTAATTACTCCGTATAATTATGGATCTTGTACTTTAATATTTCCTTTGAGAGGCAGTTTCTAAAATATTTGAAACCAAGCGATTTAATTCTGTACCGCAATCACTTTTTTAAACAGATCATTCGTAGATTTCAGATATATATATATATATTTCGTAGATATAGAGTTTGACTACTAATTCATTGTCAAACTTTGAGAGCTAGTACAGGACACTGTAACAATCACATACTGTAAATTAATTTGAATTAATTTTAAATTTTAAATTAATTTTCTAAATTAATTTCCACTTGTAAACGAGGTTATGAAAACAAAACACTTTCCCTATCATTTGTTCTTTCCTGTGTTAGTGCTTCGACGCTTCACTTTTAACCGTACATTCCTATACAATATGTGATTGTTACAGTGTCCTGTACCAGCCTTCAAGGTTTGTGCCATGAATTAGCAATCACCCTGTATTTAAAGATAACTAGTCTCTTACATGGAGTTAGTCCTCTAGCATCTTCTGTGAAACTGATTTTAATGAGAAAAACTATTTTTTTAAAAGCCAACATTACCTTCCATTCATATATTATACATCAGGGTTTTGATACTTTATAGTACCTCTTTCATATGACGTGCATTTCACCGGAACACTAACCATACATTTGCAAAACGCTTTTATTAAAATTTTCATAGAGAAATTAAATAGCATCAAATTTTAATTTTAAAAACTCTCTTGAGGACTTCTGACTATTAACTTCATGAACCCCCCAGGTGCAAGCAGATCCTAATTAAAGAAATGCTGCTATAAATACCGTATTTACTCGCTCATTTGCCTCCCTTTCTTGTTAGCCGAAAAGGGACGTTAGTCCCGAATGGGATATTAGTCTCGAAACGGCATTTTGCGTCGAAATACTTTTCAGACTGTTGTCACCCAAAATATTGCCCTGTATTATAATTTAAGAAATTAAATAATCAATCAATGAAGAATCTGCATGAACGTATGTATATTTCTTGAAATTGTGCAACGAGTACCTAGAGTCACCGAAATTTGGTACATACAGTCACCAAATTTTGAACGTCGTCCTCTATCCGAACCTAGGCGCTTTGAAGTTCGAATTTTGAATTTTTTTTTATTTCAGATTTTGTAAAACTTTAAAGAACTTTTGATCAACAATTTCAAAGCGAGTAGGGGCAACACTGCATGGAAAAAAGCATTTTTATCTCCAGCGCGCGAGACTTTTTGCCAGAAGTTCTAAAGATATGCTGTTTTTTATATATTTTATGACTTTGCTGTTGAATAGAATTTTATGTGGCGTAAGCGCCAATAACGTGATATTTAAGAAAAAAGGCAAATACACAAAACTTTAATAATAAAAAGGCAAAAAAATTTTTTGTGAAGTCATCTTAGGAAGGAAACTGAATATTGATATGATGAAATGCGTAAAGACTGGAAAAAAATGTAGAAAAATAGAAATGAAATATTTTGTTAGGTATTGCAATGTTAATATTACTATGCATTCTTAATGGTATGTAGGTTTCTTTTAAAAAATTATATTGTTATATTTATCGGTAGTTTATCCATGAATACTTTTCATTTGTTGTGTTCTAACTGTAACTGCGTCCTTCAGAAATTAAGTTATTCGCATAATTTTCCCCTCTCGATTTTCAGATGATAAAATTAGTATAAAAGGGGAGGAAATAACCGACTGAATACGGTAAATGCAAAAACTGTATTGCTCAGACCAAACAGCTACTTCGAAGTTGGAAAATTATGAAGTAAACCGCAAAAATTTACTAAATGGTGATGAAATAATGCTACTAAACATCTCAAAACTTTCGCAAACCTAAAAATTAGCGATGACTTAGGCGAAAAATTCACTTAGCTTACGTGATAAGTAGCATTCTTACCTGAGACCCGTCGAGGCCATTTAAAGGCAAACACTGTTCTTCCACCCTTTCAACGGCTCCAGCCCTCTTACCAAGACGAGCTGCTTCCCTGGCGAGGTACAAGTCCAACACCGGAATACCTCTGGATCGGACATCGCTCTCTGTCAAAGAGTTCACCATCAGCATCACCCAGACCGGACGTTTCTTCTCCCAATTACCTGCATAGCAGAAATGATTTTAGATAAGATAAGCAGACACACAAAACTTTTATTTGTCATCAAACTGTGAAAATATGGGCTTCTGATGGGAATAGAAAACAGAATTTTCTCGTCCATGAAGTGGGACGCTATCATTAAGTCCCTAAAGGAAGTAGACAGCCTTCTGCTACTTTCTAGTTGAAGAAGTTAATCAAATCTTAGCGGTTCTTACTTGAAATTTAACAGCAGTCTGATTAAATGTACTTTTCATATTCTCTTTACTATTTAAGGTATTTCTCCCACCTTCTTGGCGTGCCTTCGTGATGTAGTGGTCAGCACACTGAGTCAGTATTTCAGAGGTCCATGGTTCGATTCCCGGCGAAGGCGATTGCTCCTTTTTCATCTCTCTGTCCTCAAAATAACATAATGTCTCTACAACTATAAGAAAGATTTTATTCAGATTATTATCTATATGAACTTAAATATGGCAATAATATGATCGGACTCGATTTAAAACTTGCTAGGAAAATGACATTTACCAGCTATTGGAATAAATAAACTGCAAAAATGTAAAGAATTATCTACACGAACATCAGTAAGAAATCAATATCCCAAGAATTTTCGAAGAATTAATCGATTATAATGTCACCATATCTTTATTTCACGGAAGCGTAAAACAGAAGATTTAAACAAAAATAGCCATTTTTAGTACCTTATTATTTTGAAGCCGACTATACATAGTCTTGTTAGACACATGTTTTCTTTCTGAAATAAAAGATACTGGAGTTCATCTTAAATTAATCACATCAATAACCCACCCAATTCAATCAATAATCCGCAAGCGCTTTAGGTAATCAATCACATTAACATGCAGTACCTTTTTAAGTCAACTATGTTGATTATTAATTTTAGCTTGAAACATCTGTTACAACCCTGTAATCGAGAAAGCTACTTTAGCAAAGTCTTCAGGATTTTCCACTTCTTTATAATGATCAAGTAGATGGATGTACTCATCATATTAGCCGTTTACTGCGCAAGAAACACATTAGTCACATTGCAACTAATATTTGCGTAAAATACGGATTCACAGAAAAAAATGACTGTAACACATATGTATGATTTTTAAATACACCTTTGAAGTATGTAACTAGATTCAAACTTTGCATGTATTGATTGATCATCTTTTTCCTCTCTCCATAATTATTTTAGAAATGGCTACAGCCTATACTTTTCAGTTTCTTTGTTACATTGCGTTACTAAACCTCTGTGAATTTGGATCACTCATACAGCTTGGAAAACTGACAGTTCACACGACACTTTATCAAAAGTATTATTAATTCAAAAGATTTATTATTTATCTTCAAATTATAATATTTGACTACTTAATCAACGTAACAAACTGATGGATTTGAGAAACAATGAATAAAATTCGTAATACTGTTTCAAGGTGGCAATAAGTTTCATCAGCGTTTTATGCCGTTAGCATGATTAATTAAGGACATTTCTAACGCTGTGTAGCATGCCTTTTGGTTGGATGTCTAAGCCATTTTGAACTAGTAACCAACTGGAAAAGTCACTTAACAAGCACTGGTAGTTAGTTGGAATTTCAAGGAGATTAAATGGCCTGTATGGTGTTTTCGTTACTTATGCTTTGTGTAACATGAATACGTGCTATTTCACGTAGAAAATGAAAACACCAAACAAACTAGAACTTTCCCCGTCTAAATCAGATAGTCCTCATGTGCTGTGCAACAAATAAATAATTGAAACACATTTTTTTATAGGCGTTAGGAAAATTATTAAAAAAATTAATAGTTTTAGCCTTTCGGATAAAATTCATTAGAACTAGATCCCAAACTTCTTTAGTTACATTAGTTAACTTCATCATCAACTGTGTCTCAAATGTGTTGATAGTTTCGTTCACTATGTACTTTTGAAAAATACACATACCGTATACCCTACTTTTTCAAAAGTCATGTTAGAATGTGTGTTTTTTCTCTCTTCAAGAAAAATTTCTCCAAAGCTGAAATGTTTCTTCCTGCTTTTTGTAGTGGTTCTTCAAGTAAAATAAGCATATTTTGGCAGCCTTCACACAAATTTATTTTAAATTTTTACAAGCATGAATATATTAGCGGTTTACAAAGTTTAACTTGAATTGGTTAAATTCAATAACATATCTATAGCATATCAACTTAAGTTGCCATGGCGATGAATCATCATATTGTTTTCTTCTATTTAATTTGAGAATGCTTGATTTATTGTCTAAAATTTAAAATAGATTGCACAATACAATTCAAAACACGATCTGTATTATGTTATATACTCTCTACATGAGTATCAAGTTACGACTAAATGACCGAAGTTTTCGAAGGTATCGAAAAGCAGCCAGATTTTACCCCAAATTATCAGAAGTACTAAAGGCCTTACTTCAGAGAGTATTAGAGCTATTCAAATGCTGTAATTTCGAAGGTAAGCACGATAGTTTCGTGTAAATTCCCAGTATAAATTTGTAAAAAATTTTGTATAATTTAAATATTTTTTTTAAATATACACAGCATAGTCATTTGTATACATGTGAAGCAGAAAATCTAAAACTTTGCGCATTTTCGCCGGCATAAGAAATCCCTGCTCATACACAGCGCTCACATTTGCTTTCGAAGAAGTGTTCCGAAAATTTTATTTGCAAAATCTCCTATTGTAGTAAAAATTTCAAATTTTTTCACGTATACCATTATATACTGTTGTTTATTACATTCAAAATCTACTCGTTGAAACAAAAAGTTTATTGAAAACTTTTCTAGAAATAAAATGCATTGTTCAAAATAAGGCTGGAAATGAAATCACGGAAGTATTCGAACACTTAGAAGACATAATTAATATTTAACAAAAATAATCATAGATATAGATGTTTGATACTTAACTGGATGCTCTTTAGCTGAAATTATACTTTTAATGCACGCAAAGTATTCCCAAACACTAGGCAACAGGATTTTGCCATTCAATTCTTCGTTCGGCTTTTTTCATGCAATATAAATATATCGTCCATCGGATACAAATGTTTTAAATTTTAATACGCCTGCAAATATCGCATTATCCACTGTGATAAATATTTGTTTACCATAGATTTTGTAAATTCCGTAGTATTTTTATTTATTTATTTATTTTTTATTGTTCACGAAAAATTTTCTTTGTTGCTCGATCATTGCCTGATGAGCGATATTTGACACTTTCGGAATTAAATTTCAATGCAAACCTCTCTTCTAAATCAGTAGCAAATCTTACAACGTTAAGCTTTAGGTTTTGCTTGATCTTCCTTAAAATAAATCTCCGATTTCTTGGTCTTAGCTTGAAATGTGGTGTAGAAGAGTGTGTTCACTTTGATTAAGTGCTGACAGTACTCAATCACACTGGATAGAAATGACGACTACAACAAAAATGTTCCGATAAAAGAACAATCAAAATGATTTCTTGCTCGAGGGCTTTACATTTCGATAAATTATGCTAATCTGTAGAAAACGAAGCTGGTGTTAATATGTTTGTGCCATTATCGGAAGAAACTAAATATGTCCTTCTGGTAGAATTATTCCATCTACTGTAGAAAAAGGCTAACGCAGCAATTTTCATATTACCGTCCAACTGGAACTACCGTCATCTACTTGTTAACTGTTTGAGAAGAGGTTGGCCTCATCAGCCAAATAACATCTTATGGTTTATCGCGACCACCAGTAAACTTTCATCCGCATTTCATAACGATGGTTTAAAATTCACATATATACTTTACCATCATGTATCGCCGTATACTTTTACCATTCTGCGAAGCACATTCAGTGGAGGCCATTCTGTAGCTACGGAAGAAGGTAACCAGGTCTTACCGCAGCGCTTATAAAACAGAATACATCAAGTAAATCATAAGGGGCAGATAGCGTGTTAGTTGGACAAGTAGAGAAGTTTTCAATTTTAGATCAAAGAAAAGTAAACAGGAAATAAATCCTTGAGTCGTTTAAAAACTTTCCCTTTTTTTCTCTTTGGGGGAAAACTTCTGAGATAGCAGCTTTTCTTGATATTTATTCTTTTTACTTTTCCGCACAAGGCAGCGAATACAGAAAAGTTAAAAGCGCTAAATAAATTATTAGTAAAAATTGATTAAATTTTATTTACTTTCCTAAAGCTGATCACAGAGAAATTGTACGTAATTTTGAATTATGAGCAGTAGCTATTATGAAAGTTATTCTCATTTTCTAATTTAAATTAAATATATGATTTAGTTACCAGCTATAGCTCTGAAGAGATATTCAGCATACAGTCCTCTGTGTTCATCTTTCATCCAACTGGGCATCATCAATTTCACATAATCAAGATGTCTCTTCAGTCTTCGATACATATCGCCAGGAAGGACATCAGACAGAGTTTCTCCTGTGAAAGAAGCTTCTTTAAATATTCATGCACTTGAGACTTTAATAAAAAGTAACTAACGTAAATTACAGCCGAGTTTTTAATGTGTGGCAGAAAAGGTGCGAAAACAAGAGTTTCATAAGTATTCCCCTTAGCTGATATCCCTAGCATCTGCGAAAGGTATCGTAAGAGATTAGAAACTATTGTAATAAATCATTGCGAAAAGGTGAAAGATATCACCATTATTCAAAGGAAATATAAAGTAGAATTAGCCAAAGACTGCATACATGACAATAAGATTTTCAACCATTAAATCATACAAAAGCGCAGCAGGACTCATAATATTTGATAATTACTGACAGTATAACTTATCCGGATAGCCAAAAAATAATAATTGGTCTATCTTTTCTTTTTCTGTTAATCAAATATGCATGCATTTTAATCATGTGAATTTATTTAATTTTTCTGTTATCGTATTTTATTCAACAGCCATAGTCAATTAAAATTATCCGTAAAACTAAAATTAACTAAATTACCTTTTATTCTCTGAACGTGTAACAATTTTCTACTTTAATTAAAATAAATCAGTAAAATGAATTTTTATTTACGTAGATCATAAAACTAAATACACAATCTCGTTTTTAATTTATTTAAAATTTATTTCAATAAATTTAATTTATTTAAGATTTTTAATTTATTTAAAATTTATTTTTAAAAATAAACAACATTGCTTTCAGTGATTCCATTAGGCTATAAACCTAGAACATTTTAGACCAACCTACATATAGTTTTCATTTGTGTAAGTTTTAATAACTCTTCATCTAAATGAAATTAAGAGCTTCTCCAAAAATATATAACTTGTTTTATGCTTTTCAAATTATTGAAAACAGTTAACATAATAACAAATTTAACTTCACTTGGCTCAGAAGAAGGAGGAAAGGAAAGGAAGCGACTGGTTAACTGAGTTTTGGATATCTAGAATACAGGTAAACAAAGAGTTCTACTCTAATTTAGAATAAACCAATCTCATGCGTTAAGATATCACCAAGAATTATTCCGTATTACAGACATAATTTACTAGGCCCATTAGGATTCTTCCTGGACATGTAACGTTGCAGGGGGAACTAAATTTGTTGTTCTTTCAACCAAAAAAAAAAAAAAAAAAAAAAAAAAAAAAAAAAAAAAAAAAAAAAAGACAAACGTCTCAAAGCGTATAAATTATATAAATACAGGTTCACAGTCTTAAATCTTATAAATTATATTATATTTTTATATACTTATTAATAGATGTCTCACCTGATGGCAACATCTGACAACTCGCGAGTTGCGCCACAGTCTCTGGATCGGTGAGGTCAAGCTCGAAGAAGACACTGTCCGCTTTTTCGAAGGCCTTCTTTGCTGACCACGGCACATGGTCCCACACCCTTGTATAGGGTACATGGATGGTACCAAAAAAATAGACTGCTGGCTCTCTGCCCGGCAGAGTCCACAGGAAAGAAGATCCCTAGATATTAGGCAATAATGAAATAAGAACTCATTTCATAACTGAATTCTATGACAAAACATAATTTGGCATAATTTTTAATTACGTACTAGTGAAAAAATGACTTGCAAGGAGCATAAAGACGCGCAATCAACGTAAATGATGTTCGTAATATTTTCGCATTCTTAAAGAATTACCCTGTTGTCTTATTATTTTCGAATTCTTAAAGAATTACCCTGTTATCTTATTATTTTCGCATTCTTAAAGAATTACCCTGTTATCTTATGATCGTTCCTAATGCATCTGTATAAGCATTAGGATCTGTATAAGCATTATTCTCCCCAGGAAAAAGAATTTGAGTTTGCCAACACGTTATCTTGAACATAATTTAACATAATTAAAAAATCTGTCTTAAACTAGGAAAAAAATTAAATGCATATTCGTAGCATGAAATCAAAATACAGATGCATGAAGCAACGAGACTATAAATACATTTTTGAGAGTTAACTGTAAATTGCAGCTCCTGAGATGAGGACGCAGATTTTCAGCTGTGCACTTCAAAATAAACATATAATCAGGACTATTCGTGCAAATATAATGCCTAGATTTCTAACTTTCGCAGCGTATTTAATTTTTTTTCATCGAAACGATAAATAATGGATGACGCATAAACAGAATGCTAACCATTACAGGTTGTGATTGTAGAATTACCAACTAGTGATTGCACAATCGCACATACTCTTTCACTAACAAATTCATTTTTGTTAAACATTCATAAATATCATCTCTAAAATACCGTTAAGAAATAAGCAAATAATTATTATTTCCAATTTTAAATTGCATTATTCTTAATATCTGTGGTTTTGTCTTATGTAAAATTAAAAAAAAAAAAAAAAAAAAAAAAAAAAAATAAGAAGTTATCTAAAACACCTATTAAAAAATTTTGAAGGTTTCAGATTTTAAATTACGTTCAAAGGGGCGTTTTTAACATTTTGTGCGTTACCTTTATTTATTAAATATCATGTTCTTTGTGCTTAAACCACATAAAATTAAATTCAAGAGCAATATCACAAAATATTTAAAAACAGCATATCTTTAGCATTTTCAATACACAGGCTCTCGCGCTGGAGATAATTTTTTTTTCTCGTACACTGTCGCCATTCCTCGCTTTGAAATCGGAATTTATCAATAAAAAAATTATTAAAGTTTTACAAAATTTGAAATACATAATCAAACAAATTCGAAATTCAAAATTAGGCCTTCCAAGAGCCCATGTTCGGTTGGAGGACTACGTTTTTCAAAATTTGATGTCTCTAGGTGCCGTTGTTTTTTCAAAATGCGAGAAACATTCGTGCATTCATGCAGATTCTTCATTATTTAATTTCTTTGAATATAATACAGGGCAATAATATTTGGTTACAACAATTTGAAAAGTGAAACGTCGTTTCATAGTGGACGAGGCAAAATGCCAAAACGAAATTAATAGTCCTTCTAGTCAAATTGACCCTTTAGACTAACATTAAACAATAAACTTCAGCATACTATTTTTTGGGGTGAAATAAATTAGTTTAAAAAACAGTTCCACTAAAGACGTAATTAAAATAAATATGGTAACTGTTCCATTAAAGACGTAATTAAAATAAATATGGTACTATAAAAAATGGGAAAATAACTAAGCAGTTTTTAAAGAAATATTCCCACTAGGAAATATTAGTAAGGTGGTGGCAGATCGTGAATGCATCTGTGTGTGACTGAAAATAATGTTTTTTACTGTCTTTTATTCAGTTCAGCGGGCTATCCCAACAGTTTCAAACCCTTGAAATTATTCTTATTAATTCGCTCTAAATTCAAGGATATTATAAAAGTACTTTTTGTCTGTGTGGCGTCGAAAATCAAAATCTTCACTCCTAACGGTATTCCAGAAAGTAAAAGCAAACGTTATTAGTAAATAGATATAGAGTATCGATTGAATCAGGAAAGCATACAAGTTTATTTACGGCATCAAACTTAGTTATCGAAAGCCAAGCATTTCTTTGAATTACCAAAGAAACCCTTCCAAGAAATGAGATAAAATGACACTGTAAACTATGTATTGATTTAAGAGGAATCAATTCATTCTTTATTCCTCGGTTATACGAAGCAGTCTTCCTTTAATTTTGGGTGTTTGGTTTTCTTGAATGAGACAAGCCAGCTTCTTGCGATCGAAGTCTATCATTTTCATATGTTCCGTTTTCTTTATCTTGAAATAATAGTTTTGTTGATAGATGGAGTAGTGGTTCCGTATCCGCGAATAATAGATGATATGAATTAACAGCCGTTAAAAGTAAACATAGCGGATAAAAATAAACGTCGGTATTATTATATATATTTACTGATCGTAGACATACACTTCCAGTAGTTACAAAAATGTTTTAATGACGCAAAGATTCATGCTTTGGCATGTTTCAATTTTTTTTAATGAATTTTACAAAAATTACAAAATCTAAAATATATGACACTCTTGTCCTCGTAGTTATACTCAGAATTTTGTAAACTAACGAAATTAAAATAAAACACTAAACGTTTGACTCCCATACAACAGAAATTGACCAAGCATTTACTTTCTAAATTTGGGATTTTTGACGTCAGTTTCGGTTTGCCTTGAGGAATCGATTAAAAAATACTTTAAAACAACTCGAACTTGATTTTTTTTTCTTTTAAATGATATTCGGTAATATTCTTTTGTGATTTGCTAGTGTGTAACATTCTTGAATTAATAGTTTCACTGCAAATGATACATCGAAAGAATTTTCACACAACTAATTTATATTTTCAAACCCTAAAAGTACATTATAAATATTCCAACGAAGCTTCATTACTTTGCAGTTATAATCTAATAATCATACAAAAAATTCTTTAAAAGAGAAATATTTTTTAAATTTGATTTATGCAAATAACATTATAGGTATTAATCAAGTAATTCACAAATTATATCTATGAGCTTATATAATGTCTATACGTCTGTCAATGTTTTTGAGAACACGAATTCTATAAAGTTCTGTGAGTAAAATCTTCTTAAAAAAATGCTAATCAATACTTTTCCCGACAATCTGCATAGCAATGTTTGCCATTTGACTTGTGAACTTGTGAATACCAAAAATCTTTTTTAAAAGCTCAAATTTTATTTTTAGTTATATACAAATCCAAAGTTTTTGCTCTTTAATTTGGCATCAGAATAAGCTGTCAGAATTTAAAATTAAATATCCTGGACAATTTTTTTGTCGTATGGCAGTAAAATACTTTATCTTTTCTTTTTAATTTGTAATGACAGTTTAATTCTTCTAAACTTAAAGAATTGGTTTTTAAATTTTAAAGTTGTAAGGACTTTATTTTATTTTAACCAATTATTTTTAGTTTTACTTTCCTTTTCCTCCTGATTTCAGTTTTCTGTCAGTATGTAAATTTGTAATGACGTAGATGCTAATATAAAGGTGTTTCAGAAGCAGTATTTAAGTTGCGTTTCAAGAGTTCGAAGGAGTAGAAGCGGAGTTAGTTCCTATGTTTATGCTGCGTGTTTGAAATTGGCTCTCTAGTCGGTGTTAGAAACCTTTCAGTTTATACTGATATACTGTGTGCAGCCGATTAGCATTTAGTTAAGCTAAGGAGCCAGTCGTTAGCCCTCTTAATTTAATGTGCATTTTACATTCTTATTTTCTGTTAATTTAGTTGGCCTGTTAATTTAGTTAGCCACAAGTGGTGGTGAATTATTAGTACCAATTTGTTTTAATCTGTTTATTTTAATTCGAATAAAAAGGTTATTTAAAACCTCCTTCTGTAATATTAATTATTCAAAGACATAGCGAGCACTTGCTATTTCCTCTTCTACGTAGAGTCCACGTTGTATGCTACCAAAAAGAACACGGGGACTTTATAAAGTGCTGAAACATAAATATTTATATCATTTAAAACATTTTGGTAATGAAAGTATAGTATGTCTAGGACCAACGGTTGTGGAAATAAAGACTGCATAAGGACCCTTGTCACTTAAAAAGTGCAGATGTAATACAATATTCATGTTACATACGCAAATATAGTAAATTGACCAATTATGTAATGCAAAATCCTAATGTTAAACAAAGTAAAAATTATATATAGTAAATGCTGCAAAGTATAGTAGCTTTCTTAGTAGTGAAAATTTCTCTTAAAACTGATAGAATTCTGATATTTTAACTTACTAATACTCAAAAGATGATAAAACTATGAAAAGAAAATTTGCTGCAATCATATGATATGGAGTCTCAAATAAAGAGTCTCAGAAACGAGTTGAGATAAGTAAACTATATTGAAATGCCCGAGCTTTCATGAACTCCTTGTAAAGACTACATCTCTTATGTTCCTTTCCTTGTTGTTTAAATTTTTAACCTTTTTGCTTTTGTGCCCATGTTCATTTATTCTGATTCTTACTTTATAAATGTTTATTCTTTTTCATTATTTATCATTGTTCTTGTGTGACACTTGAGCTGTTTTATATGCTTGAATTGATCTTTCCAATAAAGCCATATGTAACAACATATAATATGGAATGTACAGTTTCAAGAAATGTTTGAACAATAAAAAATCTTTCCAACAAAACATTGCATTAACACTGGAATATTGATCACATATATGTAATAATAATAATCACATGTGTGTGCGTCTAATGGACAGAATTGCCGTAGTGAAATAGAAATATATGCCTTTGGGGAAACATTCCATCAGTGCTGTGCACATGTGGTGCAGCGTACATTTATTTCTCGCAACCATTTTGTTTTAACATGAGAAATTATTTTCCGATTTTTTCCCCCTTAAAAAAATACACCAAAATCACATAGTACAATTGTGAAATCTGAAGACAAAAATTAAAGCAGCATCTTTCACAAAAAATACAATTTTGTTTCATCACGAGAAGCGGTTAATTAAACGCGGCATTCAAATCTGTATAATGGACATGAGATATAAACATGATGGAATTTTGATGTGAATGAACATCATTGATGGCAAACAGCTGATGTGAATTCTAAAGTAATACTTGAATATGAATAGTTTAGTATTGTCCGATCCAATTATTCATTACCTGGGTCAAATGGAAGGAAATGTTGGATATTCTGATATAATATGCCTATAATACTGCATCAGAAATGATATGAATGAATATATCCTGTTAACTATTACTGTTACCATTTAACTTTTAAAGTTTCACTTATTATTTTTATTACTGGGCTTAATAAATAATATTTAATAAAATAAAATAATATTTTCAATTTATATCTTTCAAATTTGAATTTGAGATTTATAGATAAAACTATGCTCGTAACTTTTATACAGATTCGTAGGACGAGTTAAAAGAAAAAATGTAAAATTTTAGCTGGGAAGGAGTATTCCCAATAAAAAATTCAAATATTCTTTAATTTGAGGATTATGATAATAGACTTTTTAAAAAAGAACTAGAATTTTCAGTTCATTGAAATACACTTTTTATTACTGATGAAAAAATATCATATTCTGTAAGGAAAATACACACCTGTATTTCTGTTTAAAAATTCTTAAAAATATCGATTTGCAGCACACAAAAAAAATCTAGGGCTATGAAACATTCCCCAATTACTATAAATTGGTTTAGTTTGGTTGAATACAGCAAAGCTCGCGAGGTTGTCTACTTAAGGGCAAGATGCCTCCGCGAAGAACTTTCTAAGGCAAATTGTCTCGTATCCAGGACTTTACTGCTCGTTCGCGGATAAGGCTTCTCTGATACAAACGACATTCGTTGTAACCGTTGCTCCTTATAACAATATTTCCATTACAACGATTTGTGCAAGAAGTCCGCAACTAAAAAAGTTCATTAATCCACTTTCGTTATAGCTACCATTCATTATATCATCTTTTTTCCATTAAGATACTAAGATTCGTTATAAGAGAGTGTCAACAGCATAACTTAAAAGAAGCTTTCAAAAAATAACATTATGGCACTTGAATTTTTCTTAAAAAGTGCATATTTTTCAGCATGATTTTCCCTAAAGCTAATACTGATAACTTAATTTAATTTACGTTCTTTATTATTTGGGGTATTTATGATGCTAGTATTAAGAATGTAAATTTGTAAAATTACCTGTTGAGCGTCATTACAGAAAGTTGGTCTCTTCCGGTGTCCATTTGCCATTGGTATAGTCATCGTTTGGACCTAAAATAGAAAGATTTGTATAATTTTTATATAAATCTGTAATTGTTCCTAAATGTTAGAAATATGAATTGACTCTTTCATAGTTGATCAGATTTTTTAAGAAGTTTTTGAAATATTATCATAGCATATCATCATATCTTTGAATCGTTTAGAATTTCAAACTAAAAAAGAGGATTTTCTCAAAATGACTTAAAGTAAATTTGAAAAATGGTATAAAATTAATTAAGCAATGCTGATTTAGTTTAAATTTTAATTAAAAACTAAAAAATATTGTATTTGCAAAGTAAATTTAATCGTGTAATTCCACATTTCTCTTTTTCACTATTATTGTTTGAAAAGCTAAGATGGAAAATTACTTGATATATATGATTTCTGAGAAGAGGGGTAAAAGAACAGCAGCGATTAAAAAATAATTTATTAATAGATAAGTTATTATGATTGTTAATTACTGTCTTCAGTACTAATTTTTCCCTTCACATTCGTTATTATACCTTGTCTGAAAACAAAATTTCAAACAATGCGGTTTTAATATTGCAGAGCTAAATATAAATCCTCAATACTACGCATAATTTTAAAATGCTTACTGTTCCCACTTACTGAAAGTATACAGCCTGAAATCATCAATAACATCATTTGTCCTTGAACATTTTATGAATTTCAATTCTTTTACCATTTGTCTCTATTAGATGTTTGCTTTTTACACCAGGTGAAATCTGATAGACCAAAGCTTAGATTCAAACTGATTTCTAATAATTGAAACAGCAACCATTTATCTTTTTATAATTTCTCTAAAATACTTACAAGAAAGAGAAGTAAAAATTATTAAGGTAAACTTGATATTATTTGGCAAATTTTAAAGAAATTCAGTGATGAAGAATTAAATTAGACGAAATATCGGGGATTGACCATTATTCACAAAAGGCAGGTTTTATTTTGATAAACAATGATTTTGATAGTATGATTCTGTACTAGTGCGGGAAAATACATCTTTATTTGTTACTGAGAAAGAAACAAGAAAAAGCTCAAGATAATAAAATTCTAGTAGAACTTTAACCGACCAAAAATTTTGATTCTTTTCCTGCATATTTCAAATTAGAAAAAAGACAAATCACTTGCATATCATATAAGGAAAATAATATGTGATAGATGCTCTACTATATTTAGCTATGAGTACTCCCACTGAAGTATGAAATTTTGCCGATTATTTTACTTATTATTTCGCAAAATCTATTCATGGGCCTAACCGAAATACTAATAATCAGTTATTTATACGTTCTAATAAAGGATGAGCAATTCGTTCACACCCATACCAATAGCAAACCAACGCTTTAAAGCATTCATAATTAGATTATTGTTAATGTCTTTCATAAAATCAAGAAAAAAATCTTTCAGAAATTTAGATTCATCTAAATGAATGGTCGGCACAGGAAATTTCTCTTTTACCCAGGGAAAAGCAGTCGTATATTATAAAACTAAATACATTTAAATCATGATCTTCCTTATTATTACTCATGATGTTTGGGAGACTTTTGGTGAAATATTTATTTACATTCATAATTATTCTGGCTATAATTATAAAGGTGATAATCAATAACACGATGGCTTGCTCTAATACTGAATGAATTTAATACTTATAATGCCTAATGTCGGCAACTATCACTAAAACATATATTCTCATACCCCAACTGAAGATGATCATTAACTTTACAAACACAGTTAAGAACAATAATTGGCGATGCTTCATGAAAAGAAAGTTCTGTGTAAAAAGGAAAGCATAAACGATCTATAAGCTTTCCTTAATTAGGAATAGATAACTTAAAATAGCTTAATTAGGATCACACTGCATTTCTATTTCGAAAGGATTAAAATGCTACTTTATTCTAATAGTATTGTTAACATATAAGGAGTTATTGTACCCCTCCGTGCATGTTTTATTGGTGCAACTGATAGCACGTCTAGCTGAAAACTAAATAATATATGGTTCGAATTCCGAAGAGGTCATAAATAATTTTACATAATTCTCGCTCCAAAAAACATCAAGTCTCTACAATAAAAGATGTTAACAGTTGAGTTTATCAATAAAGTGTTCTTCGATATTAGGGTTTGAATTCATATCGGAGAAAAAGATAAAGCATCAGTTTTATTGATTAGTTTTTTATTGCTTATTAACAGCTTTTATATAGTTTCTAGTAATTCAGGTTCATTTTTAAAATTGTAATAGTATTACGAACCACCATCTCCCGGCGATCACTCTCACGGCGAGTCCCTCTCATCAATCAATCTTCCGCAGAGCGCAACCGAAAATGATCAGTACAATAAACATAGGTATTGATAATTATAATAATACTCCCTAAAAGAATCACTCTCTAACTCGATGGAAACCAAATATGCTATTTAATCGTCAAAACGTCTAATTCTGCTATTAAATTAAAGTATTTTATGAACTACATAAACTAAAGACGAAAGATTATCCGTACTTGTTTCAACTGCCAAGTTTTTCGAGTGCATTACGGACAACAGCGCAATCTGTGTGTGCTCAGAGAACATACATGTAGAAATACATGTAAATACTAGTAGATTTGAATGAATGTGGATATTTAAATATTATTTCGCTGAACAGTATTCAAAGGGAGTGAAATTGTGAATATCGGCCATACAGACTTCTTCTTGTTTTCATAAAAATATTGTTTCATATAAAAATGTTCCTTTTTATTATTACTGATGAATGGAACAGTATCTGTGAACTGTAAAGGTAAACAGACAACCGTTTTTCATAAAATCGGTAATGTGTTGGCGAATTTTCCTGAGGTTACGGATAATCTGAAAGTACCTCAAAGGGTTACGTTTCTGGTTTCTGCTATATAACTGGAAAATTATTTTTATGGAGGAAGTAATAAATCTTTAATTCAATGACTTTTCTTTGAATATGATAATGCACAGGAGGACACAAACTATATAGCATTGTGTAATTTATCACATAGGCTTCTTCGAATCACGAAACAGCTTTCCCATTGAACTAATTATCATATTCCTATATTATTTATATCATTTCCTATCTCAGCAAATCAATGTCGAAGTGACATTTGAGGTAGGTATGCTTTTAATGCTATTAGAATCAATTGTTGGAATTTGAGGTTGCTGGCTCAGTCTCTACACACGTCTTTATTATTATTATTATTATTAGCCCAGAAGGGCTATTAATTTCGTTTTCGCATTTTGCGTTGATTCACTATAAAGGGGGAATCACTTTTTAAATTATTGCCACCAAATATTAGAGCCCTGTATTATATTTAAAGAAATTAAATAATGAAGAATCTGCATAAATCTATGTATGTTCCTCGCATTGTGATAAAACAACGGTACCTAGAGCCATCCAATTTTGAATAACGTACGTCTCAGCCCGAATATGGGCATCTGGAAGGAAAAATTTGGAATTTGGCGTATTTTTATTATATATTTCATATTTTGTAAAGCATTTATGAGTTTTTGACTAAGAAACTCAAGAATTTCAAAGCGAGCAATGGCAACACTGTACGGGGGGGGGGGAATATCTCCAGCGCGCGAGACCGTGTACCGGAAATTCTAAAGATATGCTCATTTTAAAATTATTTTGCGATATTGCTGTTGAATTGAATTTTATGGTTTTGTGCGAAAAACATGATATTTGATAAAGAATGGTAACACACAAAACGTTATAAAACGCTCCTTTGGGAGTAATATAAAATCTGAAAGCTTTCAGATTATTTTAATTTTTATTATTATTATTTGTAAATTGTAAATGATTAACCTTAAACTATTGGCAGATCAAAAATGTTAAGTTTAGAAACACCATTAAAACCTAATAAAGATACCGCTGGTAGCTTGTCGCAAAGGAGTTACCTTTACAGTTCACAGATACTGTTCCATTCATCAGTAATAATAAAAAGGAACATTTTTATATGAAACAAGATTTTTATGAAAACAAGAAGAAGTCTGTATGGCCGATATTCACAATTTCACTCCCTTTGAATACTGTTCAGCGAAATAATATTTAAATATCCACATTCATTCAAATCTACTAGTATTTACATGTATTTCTACATGTATGTTCTCTGAGCACACACAGATTGCGCTGTTGTCCGTAATGCACTCGAAAAACTTGGCAGTTCTAGCGAATGTTGAAACAAGTATGGATAATCTTTCGTCTTTAGTTTATGTAGTTTTTCTAAAATTATCAAACAAAAATTTGTTTTAAACTTACTTTATTTTATACTTTATATACCAAAGATTTGGTATAAAATAAAGTTTTGTTTTGTTTCAAACTTTATTTTATACCAAAGATCTACCTTCTGTGTTATTTCAGTACTTCTAAGAAATTGGTAAATAATTTTGTACTACCTTGTACGAAGTAAAAGAAGTATTGTTATTGCAAAAAGTTTCAGGTATCGTATTTCAACACACCAAAAATATGTATAATTTAATAGGCGGTACAAGGAAGTCATGTAGTTCCCACATCAGACTTTTTGTTACATTATTTGCTTATTATCATTGAAATTAATTTGTAACTTTATTATGATAAAGCTATTAATAAACTTATCTTTAAGTGGTATCAGCAACCCCTATACTGGCAATGTTAAATTAGCCATTTTCGACGTATCTTTTCTCAAAATCTGCTGTAGATACACGCTTGAAAATTTTTGTGTAATTAAAGTATACCTGTCTGATTATATTGAAATGAGCTTTTAAAACATTTTGAATTTCAGAGTAATTTACAGAATATTTTGTTAGGCATAGTAAAATTTAGCACTTTTCTCACACAAAAAATTAAAAAAAATTTTTTTTTTCTTAGTTTAACACAAAAAGCTCATTTCAGTAAAATATTAGGAAATTTAATAAATAAGCCATAAAAAATTTAGATACCTGTGAGCAGTAGTTCCTGAGAAAAGGTACATCGAGTATAAGAAAATCACGTTTGGAGAAAAACGCGTTTTTATCTAAAAATCCTCATTGATCAAAGCATT